TTGGAATTCCAGGACTGCGTTGATTGATTAGTTATTGTACTTAACCTGTGTTGTTCCTGATTGTATTAGAGCTGCTACAGTCCTTTTCAGAAGTAATGAAGTTTGCTGAATATTTTTTTCTTACAGACAGTTATAGAATCGTATGACTTTGAGTACCTCCATATCAGTCTATGTTTCCTTGAGAATATATTTTAAAACCTTAAAATAGTCTTAGTTACTGTATTTTTTAGGCCATTGTAAGTAAGATGGAGAGCAGAAACCACACTGTGGCACTTGTATCCACAATGGCTGGAGCAAAATTTGTGCTCAAATGCTAGAGACGGAAATGAAACCCTTATTCATAATTTTGGTTAAAAAAAAAAAAGCCAATGTCAAGATGTAGTGTTCTTCATGGTCTGCTCCTCATGGGAGTGTGGAGAACTTAATTGAAGCTTATTCAGATCATCGATGGGTTCCTGCCTCCAACCAGAAGACACACCTTAGTCCTTGACTTATTATATAATTCTCAGTAGTCATTGAAACTCCTCCTTGGTTTCGGTAACACTAGTGTCCCTGTTTTCTCTTCATACTCACTTGCTCTTCTTTTTAGTCCCCGTTGAGAGTTCAAAATTAAAAGTTTAAAAGACCCCACCTCCAAGACTTTGTGTTTGTTGTTATTGGTGTTCCTTGATAGACAGCATCACCTGTGCTCAGAGATTAACGCTGGTTCTGGGTTTTATCCTTGCTTCATCCAGATCTTCTCTCTATCTCATGAGTTCTATTCTTGGTCATCTGATGTTTCTCAAACTTGACTCAAACACAAAATGCTTTCCTGCTCTTGCAACACAAACAAAGCCAATAAACAACACACACCAAAATTAAAAACTGGGGGACATCCCGTCTCTGTGTGTGTGTGTGTGTGTGTGTGTTTCTTTCTTCTCATAACTATCAACAAATGTTTTCCAAGTATCACAGTCTAGATATTTGGAAAACAGGTTGGTCCAGTATCCTCTCATAGTCACACAAATATGTGAATTTCTTCATTTGTTTTTGGCTCTCACATATTTCTCAATTCTATCACCTCTTCTCCACCTCAACTCTCATGACCAAGTACAAGGTGCCATCACTCCTAACAACCCTAGGCTCTAAAAAATCACAGTGAACTGCTGGGAAGGGAATATCCAAATCATTACTCCATTTTAAAATTTGTGTTTTTGTCCTTTCATTATATTCGGTTGTTTTCAGTATACAATTAGAACACTTACATTCCTAAAATTTTTCCAGAGTTTTTCATTTTTTTGATCCTATTTTCAATGGTATCACTTTTTTAGTTGTTTCCAGAATGTTTATTGCTAGTATATAGAAATACAGTTGATTTTTTTATATTGACCTCATAACCTGCTACATTGCTGAACTCATTTATTTTTGAGGATTTTAAGTTGAATTCTACAGGATTTCTTTTATATACAGAATTATATTTTGAGCATTAAAGTAAAGCTTTACTCTTTTTTAAATAAAGTTTTGCAATTCAGAATCCTTTTTTCTCATTTTTATTGCATGATTTCTTTAGAAAAAGCCTCCTGTATTTATTACAAGCAGTAAAAGTAAAAGATTGAAGAACAGATAAATATGTCTCCAGCAAAGGA